CTTCCGGTTGGGGGGCAGGATAGGAGGGGGCTGGGGGTGGGGTATGGCTGGGCCGGTCTTGTTCCTGGGTTCTGTAGGCTTCCCCTGGGTCCTACTGCCTCATACTCCTGTCATCTTTGACAGGCAGCCAGGAGCAGATAAATATTAAATTTTCTAAAATTTTTAGGAGCCCTGCAGGCCGCATCCAACCTACAGGTCCTTTCTTTGCCTGCCCCAGTCTGAGGGGAAAAGGAGTCCAGGAGGAGATGAAAAAAGCTAGAGCTATTTAGCTTGAAGAAGAGAAGACTGAGGAGGGATTTGACAGCAGTCTTCAAATACACGAAGAGCAATTACAGAGACAATGGAGATGGTTTTTCTCTGTGGCCATAGGGAACAGGACTAGTAACAATGGACTCAAGTAGCAGCAGAGGAAATTTAAGTTGGAATACGAGGAACTTTCTGACTATAAGGGCAGAACAGGTTACCTAGAAAAGCTGTGGAATCTCCATGCTTGGAAACTTTCCAAAGCGGGTTAGATAGACACTGGGCTGGGATGGTTTAATCAGGGATGATCCTGCCTTAAGCAGGAGGCTGGACTATATGACCTTGCAAGGTCCTTTCCAGCCCTACTCTCCTATGATCATGATAAAAGTTTTGGGGTAAATGTATACACATTGTAGCAATTGCTCCTCCCAAGGGTGGCTGCGATGCCCCCAGGTGGCTGCTCAGCCATTGCCAACCTGGCTCCTTTTGGGGCCCTCTCCCTTTTTACTTGCCCAACACACCTTGATGGTATTAACTTCTGATGAAAGGAAGGCTACCCCAGGGCTTCCCAACCCCGGTCTTACTCTTATGACCAAGGTGCTCCATCCTACCCAATACCTACTCCCATGGTGCTCCATCCTACCCAATACCTACTCCCATGGCTTGCAAATGATTTGCTAACTCATGTTCTTCCTGAGCTATGGGCTCCTTGGCTTCCTTGGTTTCCAACTGTAACCTCTGGTCTTTGGCCTATCTATTCCAAGGCCCTAACCCTGCTCCTAAGCTACGTGACATTTCTGGGCTCCCATGCCCTGCCAGTCTCCGGCTGTGGCCCTCTACTCAGCTGCTGACACACTGCCCTCTCTCTGGGCTCAAGTCCTTCAGCCCCACATTCTGCCCTCTGACAGGCCCCGAGGCACTAGAGCTCCCCTCAGTGCACCCTAGTCCCCCTTGGTCCCCACCAGGCACCAGACCTTCTCCCAAGTAGTCCTTCCTTGGCTCAAGCTCTGCATGTGCATCTCTCTTTGTCCCTGGGACCCCAAACTTATTTCTTCCAAGGTCTGCTCTGTCTCCACACTATGCCCCTCTATGGGTTTAGGCTCTCTCCCTCTGGGCCCCAGGCCCTCTATTCTTCTGGACCCGATGTCTCTTGCTGGATCAGCTGGAACCACAATGCCTTCCCTGCAGTCCCTTCCATAACCACCAGGTGATGCTCATCACCAGTCCTCTGGGGCCACTGCCTCTGCCCCCAGGGCTATCTGTTCCAAGGCCTGCCTTGCTCCTCTCAGACGCTGCTCTATTTGCTAGCTGGGCTTCTGGCACCCTGACCCTCTGCTCTCTGCTGCCCCACTCTAGGCTATTGGCTCACCCACTCCTGGTCCCAGGCATATCTGTTCCAAGGCCTGGCTGTTCCCAGGCTCAATGCTCCTTACCCCAGCTCAGTGGTTATCTCAGGAGTCCTGTTGCCAAGGGCTCCTCTCCCAGTGGCACTCAGGGGTAGACTGCCTGACCGACTCAGGCCCTGGGCTTATCTGGCTCAAGCTCGGGCTTCTTCTGGTTAGGTGATGCTCTAATTACCCCCCTGCCTAAGTTCTAGAAGTGACAGGTGCTCCAAGCATCCTGTAACACACATACACTGACCTAGTCTTTCCCCCAATGTCTCACACATTTATACTAATCCCTTAGGCAAACTTGCATCTTAACAGTTTCCACTTATTAAATCTTAGACTTGATAACTAGCTAGAGGGCAGAAAGAATGCACCAGTCAATAAGTTTTAAATAGAACAAAGATTTTCTGAAAGAGCAATCCAAAGAAGAAGAGGTCATACCAACATCATGTTACTTTAGATATGTACATTTCTAGGCAAGTTATATAATTTGTTTACAGTACAATTACATCTAGAAAATTACTTACCTCTCGTCCCATCCATTTCTTTTCAGTACCTCAAAGGATTGCTTCAAAATCCTACGGATTAGCTACAAAGCAGAAGAATTGTTGTAGAACATTTCAGTTCTCTAAGTAAACAAGACTCAATAAAATAGCTACTGGGACAGTCACATGGACAGTCTCTTTAGTTAAGCTTCTTCATGAGACACAGCAGGGTTTTCTGCAAAGATGCCTTTTTTGTATACGTAAGAGGTCTGTCCACTATGTGGTGCAATCTCTAGCTCAAACAGTCTCACTGTTTACCATCATCACGTCATGCAAAATACAATACAGCAAATACCCTCATGTCTCTCCCTGCAAATTCCTCAGCATCTTCCCTCAAAAAAATCCCAGTTCACTACATTCAAATGAATTGAAGATACTAGTAAACGACGGATCACAGCAACATTAGTTTGCCCAAGTTTTATGTACATTTAACTGAGAGACAAGAGTGTTACTTATTTGGGGAGAATTTCTCTAGCTTATCACTGTATAAAGGTCAGGTTTTGCACTTAAACTTCCTCTTTGAAAAGACAATGCTAACGTGATTTCACTGTGCGTTTCCATTAATACTCGACATTATGAAGGCATGTTCTAAACACAAAGAGCTTGTTTACCCAGAGCTATAATTAGTTTTAATATTAGAATTCCAACTACAGGAAATTCTATATGTCGAGGTAAAATTAACTACCACAGGTAATACACTGTTCTTGTTTTTAAATCGAACCAACTATGTAATATGGCCAACAGAAAGATCTCAAAGTAGTATGCTTTAATAATAGTGTGGTGTCCACTGGTGTGGCAGCAGCATGCTATTGCAAGACTCAACTTTATGCCCTACTGAAGTCAGAGGAAAATCCACATGGCATCAGGCTAAGTAAAGGCACAAGCACTTGCAAGCCAAGACCTTATATAAACACAGCATGAAGACCTCTAAACCTGCCATGGCAGAGAATAAGGTACTCAACGTAAATGTCCCTTCACTGTATCCTAAAGGAATGACAGTGCTTTTTGCTACATTTGTTAGCATTTAGGCAGAAAACAACTCTTCATTTCAATGCCACCTCAGTCCTGCCAATGAAAACTGGGCCTACAAGAAATGCAAGTGCAAAAATTTATCATCACCATGTAGTACTTATCAAGGCGCAGCCTGTCTATTCCATTCCACTCACGGTTCATGGTTTGCCAAAATGTCTGAATGAACAGGTGTCCTGTAACAGAAGGAGAACAGCAATTTGTGTGGTCAATGCCAAAAATATTCTAGGTTACTGAAAGAAGCTTATGGAGACTGCTTTTCAAATTTCATGAAAAAAGCCACACTCCTCAACATATGGGTCCAGTGGTTAAGGCACTAACTTGGGAAGACACACTCAAGATCACTGGAAGAATAGCTACGTTTCAGAGTGAGAGGTGCTCAAACATTTGTGCCACAGGGAACATGTAAGCATCTTACACGGATGTGCGACAAGTAGTTAGAATGACTGATTTCCACAAAATGCCAATCTGGGCAAGCCAGAGCAGAGAATAATTCTGCACTCACACTTTTGGTCCTGATTCAGCAATGTGTTTCAGCAGTCTTAAATCTGGGACTTTAAAACTCACAAAGGAGGAGGACTTTTTTTTTTTTTTTGCTTCTTTTTCATTTGCTTTGAAGACGACCACCTTCACTGCCCAATTAAAAAAATAAAAACCAAAAAACCCCAAACACCCAGATCAATGGAAAAGGAAAATTTGTTTCGCTACCCATCTCTTTTTTCTTACTATTTTCTATCATCAGATTGGTAAAGAGCATGCTTGTTGGCACACCACAAACAAAGTACCCCTAGATTTGACTCCAGGGCTATAGACAGTCAAGAAGCCCAGGGCTGAATCAATTCAATCTTCACAGGTTGGTCTAAGCTGTGTATATTTAACTGATAAGCAAGTGAACAGACTTTTGATTCTGGAAATGCAGCTGCATGCCTGCAGAGGCTCAGGCAAGAAGCCAGGAGGTGCTACAGAACGTGTCTCTGCTCAGCTGGAGCAGACAGCTTGGGCCAAGGCTAGCCTGCCCACCCTGCAAGGGAAGGGATGAGGGGAGGTGCAAAGCATCTGGGGATGCTGGGAGATGGTGAGTTAACTTGAATCTGGAGGGGATCTGGGACAGAAGTTCAATAAACCAATTTAACCTAAATCAGTCAAGTTTGATACTATGTCCATTCATGTTTATCTTAAACTGGTTTTGGCCATTTTAAAAGAGGTTTACATGCACTGAACTTCTGCTGTGTTACAGATTTGAACTGGTTTCCGATCACTTATCCTGGTTTATGTGCAACTTCTGTCCCTAACCCAGGTGCAGATTAGATTAGCATGAAAAACACTTGCTTCACATAATGGAATCACAGAGAGATCTTGGATGATAGTGGAAGAGAAAAACTTGGCTGTCTTTCCTGGACTCTGAGACAATTAATTAAAACCCACCAAATACAATGGTAGAAGAAATATAACAAAAATAGTAAAATAGTAAACTTACGAGCCTCCACATTCTGAATGACATGGATAAGTTGGGAAATATTATCTGCTAATTCCTCCTTAAAAATAAATAAGGCAGAGTTAGCACATTGTGTTTCAGGCTTAAACCCCACCACTTATGTTCCTACCTTACCTGTAGGGAAACAACATTGATTAATTTCTCTTTTAGCATCATAATAGAGATATGTAGGAAGAAATGGATAACAACATTTTGTGTTCTCCTATTGAGAATCTTATGTAGGCATGAATATGACAACATTTCCCCAAAGCTGAAAAATATTCTTTTAATTGCCATCTGGTCTTTTGGATGCAAATGCAAAAGAAGCCTCAAGGATGCTAAGGACCTATTCAGCTCAATAGGTCTATAGAAGGTGCGACTTCCAGAAGCAGATACAACTGGATTATGAGGCAGGATGCATGCACACACATCTGAGTTTACAAAATCAGTGCAAAACCTAACAAGCATTGATTATAAATGGCACTCTATTCTTTACAAGGGACATTGACTGCGTGAGCAGTATGAACACATTGAAGGATCAATGTTACTATGATATGGAGCAATTTAAGCTCAAGAACCAATGTCATCTTCTATGTTTGCATCGTGCTGAGCACAACGAAAGTACCCTTGTCAAAAAGGAGGAAAAAATAAACATATAAATAAAACCAGGAAACATGTTAAGAGAAGAAAGCTGGTGCTGGATGAGGAGTCAGAGATATTTAGACTGACAGAAGAGGAGGGAACCCTGTCCCCCAAGCTTTTAAGTTGGTTTAATTCAGAAACCAGAATGTGTTTCAATCAAAGGGTTCCTGCTTCATTAACTGAGCTAATGAACAGTGGCAAGTTATACTAAAGAAAATATATTTCCATAAAGTACATATCTAAAACAGAATTACATGAAGAGTAACATAAAACTTCAGGCCCAATAACGCTCCTATTGAAGTAAGGGTATTATTGTCATGTTTTAGCCAAGGATGCTCAGTTGCAATTAATTTTCCCACATGCTCATGCTTACCACATTTCCTTCATAAGCACATGTCCTTATAATGTTATTTTTCCCTGAACAAAATGAAAAGGTGCTGTGCCCTCATCGCACATTCTTGAAGGATGTCTATTTATATACACAAAGCTGATTTCCATACCTGTAGCAGAGGTTTATCCTGCATCCACATACAGTAGAACAGCCCTTTCCATATTTTTAAGAGTTCTTCTTGGCTGAAGCCACCTAAAGTGTTTAAACCAAAAATTATGCACAAAACCCCTTACAATTCCATCAAATGCTTAAAAACAGATTTCTCATTTTTCATTCCTCCCTCTTTCAGTTTTGTCCTTTCCTTTGGAGCAAACATTCCAATTTTGAATGGAGTCAAAGTTAGCACTACTACTTTGTTTATGAAAAGTCTGGTTAATGCAGTGGTCTCATACCTTTAAGCTTCTGACTTGTTACTGTACCATATACTTTATGATACAAGGCTCATAGATGATCAGAGGAAGTCACACATGGGAAAAGCCTGTCTGGTCATTCTGATTCATCCCCCTGTCAATAGGGTGCAATTCCCCATGGCATTTTTTTCTAGTACCCATTCCAAAAAATAATTTGGATGACAGCATACCTAATTCTGTGGGGAAAGCCCAATTGCAAACCTGGGGAAAAAGGGTGAGGAAGCAATGCTTTTAATAGAAGTTTCACTTCACCACTGGTTAAGAGATACCCTGAGCAGGATACAAGATAACGCGAGTCCCTGTTTATAATCAGTGCAGATGCTTCTTCATGTGTTGTCAAGCCATATAATTAAGTATAACAAATGCATTGTAATTACAATTAAACTTGAGGTACAGTATTAATACTATTTGAATTATTCAAAATTCTTTCAGTTGTAATAAGAATTCAAGGGTTTCCAAATTACGCGTCACTTTTCTTCAAGTCCTAGTACAGTAAAAGCTCTGTTATCCAGCATGCCCCGCAAATGGGGGATGCCAGATAACAAAATATGCCAGTTAATTGAGTGGCCCCACCCGGTGCTTCTCCCACCACATCTGGGGCATCCCTCCACCCCTCCTGCGACGTCGCCGCCCCTCCCATGGGCCCTGCGGGACAGGGAGGCAGCCCCGCACAGGCCTGCACAGCCTGTTATGCCCCCAGGCCGTGGGGGCTCAGCAGCGCAAGCTGCTTTGCCCTGAGTCATGGGGCCTCAGAGAAACTGGAAGTGCCCACCATGGGTACTTCTGGTTTCACTTTATCTTAGAAGCCGGCACGCCGGTTAGTGGAGCATGCCGGCTTGTAAGATCCCGGATAACAGAACTTTTACTGTATTAGTAAACCGACTTTGAAAACTTACATATTTTAGGATCTGTTAGAAGTGACAATAAAAACTGTGATCGGACCTATTGTAGAAGGGTGAAAGAGGTTTAAAATATCCTTATGATGCTAAAACATGTATTATATGTTAGCATCACATGCTAGTATTACATGTAATATCCTTGGTATTACAAACTAATAGTCCGCATCAGTCTGTACCAAGAAAAACATCACAATGTTTTAGCTTGCTCACCCAGTCCTATTTTTAACCTACAAAAGAAAGAAGAGAACATTCAAACTGGTATATCCATGCTTCCCAAACTTTTGATACCCAAGGAACACTTTTCTTCTGGATTAAAACTGAGGGTGCACTCCACTCTTACATCCAAAAAGGTGTATGTACATGTACTAGTACATGAAAGACATACATAGTGATGCCTGATCTTTTGGTCCTGTGGGCCGAATCAGCAGTGTCCGGTCAGTCGGTGGGCTCGATCCTGTTGTATAGGGCCGGTGCAGCTGGGACCCATGCGTGCCATGTAGTGCTTAGAAATTTGGCACAGGAAGAGTAATGACAGTGTTAATTGCCACCACTCCCCCACTACCAAATTTCTGGATGTGTGGAAAGGCCTGCAGGCTGTATGACATTGCCCTGTGGGCCAGATCTGGTACTAATGAAGTATTTTTGCAGCACATTTTCCCTGCTCTCACTACTGTGCCACAGCACACCCTCAGAAAAGTGTCAGGCCCAGAATAAGAGGACCATGCTACAGATCAACATGTTAATGCTGCATCCAGTTTAACTACTGAACCATGTTTTGAGAAGAAGATGACGGGTTTGTTTGTTTGCTGGAGGGGTTGTTTTTACCATTATTATATACTGGTAATTACATTTTAGCTGGTATCAGGGCAAGTACCTTCACTGCCTTCTCTAAATCTTGGAAAATATTAAATAATCCTAACAACTATAAATGAGATGCGACTATCAAGCCAATATGCCTTTAGGACAATTCCTGTTAGCTTAGCATATCTTCTGAAGTTCAAACACATACAAGACTAGAAAGTGGGTGTTTACATAAGTTACCCTGTTTAGACTGTGCATGGATCCCAACATAGTAGTTTCAGGTTTTCAGCAACTTCTCTGAAATAAGCTTTCCCATCTCATGGATATTGTCAGTGGTTGAATACATACTCCGGGGCCTCATTCTACTCTGCTTCACCCCAGTATTAACTGCACCAAAATCAATAATTTCTGCAGCAACAGCAACAGGAAGCAAGCTTGACTGTAAACACAACTCTGGAATTATGACTGATGCCTCCAAAATGCCTACTACAGATGATGTCATGTTTTAAATGGGTCAATGGGAATTGTTCCATAGATAAAAGGACATTAACTTTCATAGCCTTCTAAAAAATATTTCATAAGGGCAACATTTTGCATGCAATGCCATCAGTATCTAATACTCTTCTCTTACAGCAGATATCTTCACTTGATCTGTTCTCAAACGGGACATCCACACTGTTAGAGATCCTATAGCAACAGGCCTGTCTTAGATAACAGGAAACTGATAACCTTGTAGGTACCATGCAACATTTTGGTTAAAGTGCAAACTGACTGCTAACTACAACAGACAAATAAATGGTCATAACTATGGCCTGGTGTATGTACATGAGGGGTGGAGGGGATTGGGGGAAAATCTTGCGCTGGTCTAGTTCCAGACAACGAAGGCAAACGTGCTATATCAGTGGTTTACCCCAGTGAGTTACTAAAGGCAAGTTACATCATTGTATTAGGAACCTGTGCTACTATAACCTCATTGTGATTCCAACCATAAAAAAGTCTGCCTACTCTCTATACAAAAAAGAACGAAAATAAATCTCCTTTTGGGTCTAAAGACCTTATTGGTTCTTGCACTATTCCCTACTTAGTATTTAAACTGGGCCTGAAACCCATAATCTCTCAAAAGCTATCATCAACTTTGGAGCACCCACTGTATGTGCAGCCCCCTGTGGCTAGATGGGGTCTGGATCACTCATCTTTAATGACTTCAAATAATCAACAAAAGGCCCCTCTTAGACTATAGGCAATGGATAGTCTTGTAGGCACCATGCAACATTTTGGTTAAAGTACATATAGCAGCAATTTCCAAACTGTGGGTCATGACCCCAAATGGGGTCTCAACATCAGCAGATGGAGTTGTAGGGGTGGGAGGCTGTGGGTTGGGAGCGAGAGGCCACGCTGAGGAAATGGGGCCATAAATGGGGTCATGCTGAGGAAAAGTTTGGGAAGCACTGGCATACAGACTGCTAAATATAACGAATAAATGGTCATACTATGGTCTGGTGTATGTGTACAGGAGATAGAAGGGGTTCAGGGGAACACTTGCACTGGTTTAGTTCCAGAGAATGAAGGCAACCATGCTATATCTGTGGTTCTCCAATATACCTGATGCCAAACAAACGTGGTTAAAGCACAGACAGACTGCTCTTGGCAGCTGGTAACAACCACCTCCACATTTGCCCAGCTATAGCAGGGAAAAAAAAAACAGCAGCCTCCCTCAGTGAAAGGTCATTTAACAGGAGCAAGAATGACCCACTCAGCCAAGTCTGGGCCAGAACAGGAGAGACTTCCAACTCTCCCCTGAGCAGCAGGAGCTGCAGCAGCATCTCTCCCTACCCTCCTATTTCACAGCCCACGTGCGGATGGATCCCAGCTGATCCCACTGCCCCATGTGTCTCCTATACCCTGCCCCCCCAGCCACCTCCATTTCCCACAGGTGATGCTCTCAGGGCGCATCCGCTTACCCCTCCATGCCCAGCCTTTACCCCCAGGGTGCCCATAGCACCCCCCACCCCAGCCTGACACAGCTGCCCGGCACCACGTGCCCGCCTCCCCCACCACGTGCTTGCCCCCGCCCTCACCCGCCGGGCTCTGAGTCCTGACGCTGATATAGCCTCGCAGCTTCTTCACGGCGCGGTCCCGGACCCGCTTCTCGTTAGCGGCCAGTCTCTGCGCAAACTGGATCTCGGGCGGCGGCGGCACGGCGGCGGCGGCGGGAGCCATGGTGCCCGCTCCCCCACGCCCCGCCCCCTGTCCGCTGCCGCTGCCACTCGGCCGCCCCGGATGGAGCCGCTGCCGCGTTCCATCGAACGCCGCCTGATGACGTCACACGCGCCCTCTGTCGCACAACTTGCCGGTTCCGGCAGCCCGCGTCCTACTCGGGCCCGGCTTGCCAGGGGCACGATCCTTATGGCAATCATTGGACAATCATTTCCACCCTCGTACGACCAATAGGAAAAGGAATCAGAACTCGTGGTAGAGGTGGTATCTTTTATTACACCAACTAGATTTTTGCAAAAAAAAAAAAAAAAAAATTCTTACATTCAAAATTAAAGAAATTTTTTTGCACAAATCTAGTTGGTCTAATAAAAGATATCCCCTCTACCACGAGTTCTGATTCCTTTTGCTTCTAGACCAATACAGCTACAACCTGGATACCTGACAATAGTAGGAAAAGTATTCCAAATGCACGATCATTTTTGAGGCAGCTCCTTGATGCAGCATAGGCAAAACCCAAACTATGGCATTTGTTCAATAATTTTAATCCTTGTACCATCAACAATACTAAAAGCCTTCAAAATGCATGATCTTTTTTGAGGCAGATCTTTGATGAAACGTAGGCAAAACCCAAACTATGGCATGTGTACAATTATTTCAATCCTTGTACAATCAACAGTATTAAAAGCCTTCAAAATGCATGATCATTTTTGAGGCAGCTCATTGATGTAGCACAGGCAACACTCAAACTATAGGGGTATAGGTTGTTGGTCTAAGGACATAGGCAGACAAGGTTCTTTGGGTAAACCTGATATCTTTTATTAGACCAGCTCAAATAGTTGGAAAAATTCTTCTTTGCAAGCTTTTGGGTACAAACACCCTTTGTCAGGCTGAGGAAGCAGCTGCAGTGGGTATGCACTCTTCCTAGATGGAATGAATAGTAAAGAGTAAAAGTAAACCCAAACTATAGCATTTGTACAATATATGATTGTACAACCTTGCATGATCCATAATAGTAGAAGCCATCAAAATGCATGATCATTTTTGAGGCCGCTGATTGATGCAGCATATGAAAAACTCAAGTCACTCTCGGAATCTGAACCAACTTTGGGGTTTGCTGCCAGTGAGCATTTTCTTATGATGCCTTGCCTCAAAATTAAGAAATGTTTCAACTTCGATGACCCAGTTCTCATTCACTAGAGTTACAGTAAGCAATATAAAGTAAATAAGACTTATTTGCATACTTTGTGCATATAGTGTACAATAGTTTTTCAGCAAATATGATCATTTTGAGCTTCCAATACAGTCATTTCAATTTAAGACCTGGCGACACTGAAAAGCATGGTGGAAGGACAAGGCTAGAGGTTCAGGAGCCTGGTGGCAGCCATCACTACCCTCCCCAGGCTGCATCTAGGAGCAAAGCACCAGCCACAGTGTGATGATTTCCCCTGAAAACACAGGCTCTTATGTAGCAGCCGTGCCTAGAGTGCCCATGCATAGTTTCATAGTTTCTAGGGTTGGAAGGGACCCGAGTAGATCATCTAGTCCGACCCCCTGCCATGGCAGGAAAGAGTACTGGGGTCAAACAACTCCAGCAAGGTGTTCATCTAACCTCCTCTTAAAGACCCCCAGGGTAGGAGCCAGCACCACTTCTCTTGGAAGTTGGTTCCAGATCCTAGCCGCCCTGACAGTGAAGTAGCGCCTCCTGATGTCTAGTCTGAATCTACCCTCTGCCAGCTTGTGACCGTTATTCCTGGTCACTCCTGGTAGTGCTCGGGGGAACAGGGACTTCCCCAATGCCTGCTGATCCCCCCCTGAGTAGTTTGTAACAGGCCACTAGATCCCTCCTCAGCCTTCTCTTGTTGGAGGCTGAACAAGTTCAGGTCCTGTAGCCTCTCCTCGTAGGGCCTGCCCTGCTGCCCCCTGACCATGCAAGTGGCCCTCCTCTGGACCCTCTCCACGTTGTCCACATCTCTCTTGAAGTGCGGCGCCCAGAACTGGATGCAGTACTCCAGCTGCGGCCTGACCAGTGCCGCATAGGGGGGGAATATCACTTCCTTGGACCTGCTCGAGGTGCATCTGAGGATGTATGACAAGGTGCGGTTGGCCTTCCTGACTGCATCCCCACACTGCCGGCCCATGTTCATCTCAGAGTCAATGACGACTCCAAGATCCTTTTCCGCCTCTGTACTGACAAGAAGGGAGTTCCCCAGCCTGTAGGTATGGTGCTAGTTGTTCCTCCCCATCTTTGCACCAGGCTTTTTGCTTGTTCAAAAGACCTCCCACCCCTTCTTTGCCAAGGTCGCTCAACACCTGCACCTTATCACTTGAAACTCTGCCTCAGGGGTGAAAAGAGCATTACCAATTTGCAAACTGAATCATAGAAAATGAGTTTTGGAAGGGACCTCAGAAAGTCATCTAGTGAAATCCAATGTTTCCCAACCTTTTCCTGGGATGGAAGGTCTTTCAGTTACTTCTTTGTTATAGTTCTTTTGAGCGAAAGGTGTTTATTGGCGAGAGGAAAAAGAATGATGTGTTTTTTGGGAGCACCAGAGACCTGTATGGGAATGGGGTGCAAACTTGAAAGGGACACTGGGGGAGAACAGAGCAATCTTCTTTGGGTGTGAGGCAAGGGAACTAAGAGTGGATGGGAATGGAGTGGGGAAAGCAGGAAGTGTTTTATTGTACTTAAATGCAACTGGGGTTTGGAAGAGCTGGGAAGTAAGGTAGGGATTGCCTGAAGGGTTTGTTTTTATGGGCAATAGGCAGGAATGTGGGATGGGGTGATAGAAAAAAAAACTTTAAAATTCTATTTTCTAGGGAGTCTAGTCTAGTTTCTTAGCTGTTAGTGGCTTGTGATTTCTTGCAAGTCACCCCAAATCTTTCTGGATGGGGTACATATAGTACTCACAGGCATCTGCCCCAGCTGCTGCTGCCTTCTCAACTCTGATTCACCTCTTATTGCTGGCCTGCCCCGACTTCAGTATGGGTCGTTATTGCTGGGGAGGGATTCCTGAGGGTCAGTAAATCACCCTGCAGGGTAGGCTGATGTGTCTACCCCAACCAGCTATACCTGGGGCTTTCTGTCCTCTTTCAGTAAAAGGGGGAGGAGGGGTTGTGTGGGTTCGTGCCAAATTATATAAGGACTGAATTAAGCACAGGCTCAGACCTGGATGTTCAATTTAAAAAACTTTTATTGTTTCACAAAGTCATAGACTAAGGAGGTCTGTTGGTTCACGAGGTTCCCAAATCAAGCCCTTGCTTTCTAACCTGAAGGCTAGGTGCAGCTGCCTGATTCAGTAGTCTCAGAACTGGTCAACAGCTCATTTAAAAAGGAGTCCCTTATCTTTTTTAAGACAAAAGATACAAAAAAAAACCTGTCCCCACTCTGAGTGAGGCATCTAACATAATTTTTCTATTACTTATATATGATAACACATATACATATGCATTTCTAATTCTTACTTCTATTGGTTAC